GGAAACTAGCCTTAAATCTGACTGTGAAAACACATCTTTTCACATATAAATTACAGAAACGTAATGTTGAACTAAATGGGAAAGGATATAGAATGATGTCTCTTTAGAAAAGCATAACAGTTAAAATTTGCTAAATTAATAACAGGTTATCCAGAATTATTATTGCCCAAATTAAGAAGTCTATGTTTGAGATTTGAGCAAAAATAAAATTTGCTTCCAAATATACTATCTAAATGATGAAATTTTCTGCTTTTAACTTGAAAAGATTAACATATCAGTTACTTGTATTTTTATATTGTTTTCATTTTTTTATTGTACTCTAATAATATCACAAACACAAAAATTAATTTTAAATGTATATGGTTCCAAAATCCAGTATTCAAAAGTTAAGAAATACTGTAAGATAACCTACACAATCTTAAATTCGCTTCCTTTTCAGTCTTTCTGCAGTCTTTTGTGTCAGGCACCATCTTGTCACCTTTAATATTCAGTTACCCCTAAACAAATACTACACTCTAATGCAAACGAAAGATAGCACAAAAAGCAGGGATCCAGATAAAATTGTATAGGTGATCCTAATTCTGACATTTCATGCTCCTTCATAGTTTTTAGGATGTGGCTTTTTATTTTTTTAACATGATAAATACTTTCTTCTCTCTGTATTTTTCTTTCACTTGCTGAAGTGAAAAAGTAAAACACCACAAAAATTCTATTACATGAAATCATAATGATCTCCATCATGTGAAGTCCCACCCCCCAATTAGAAAGTCCTACCATTTTAGCAAAAAGCCCTTTGACTTAAGGTAGCTGCAGCACACTGTTAACCCTTTACATAATGCAAATAGAGGATTTTTTAATCATTTGCTTCATGAAGGACAAGCAGTTTCACGTTTTCTTGTCTACCCTTGTAAGGCAAGCTAGTAACACTGAAAGCACTGCTTAGCACAGTGATTGACACAGGTACAACAGCAAAATACTCGTGATTTGACTTTGCCTTTTAGACACCTGAGATTCAAGTCTGGTTCTCATCTTAATCCTTCACTGAAGGGAGGTCACCAGAACAGCGAGGGTGGAACTCTCCCAGTAAGCATCTTGTTCATTCTTTAACAAAGGAGGAAAAAACCTTCTCCATTAAAAGACTTTTAGTAGCAAACCATTTAATTCTCAAACAATGAACAGTGCAAAATCATTTGCTGAAGAGTAGCAAGGAAACATAATTTCACATCCATAAGCATTTTACTTAAAAAATAAAAGATATATTTGTGTTATTATGAGTCATAACACAGCCTTGAGATCCTAACCAACACATTCATACACTGGAAACCAGAACTAGGAGAACCTGTCCCCTACTTTTTTCAATCTGCCTGACTATGACTGGCCAATAGATTTGGAGGAAAAAAAAAAAGAAAAGAAGAAAGAAAAAAAAAAACAGTCATGTACGCTCAATAAGACAGGACGGAAACTTACTTTGGGGCCTGGAGGTCCTTGTTTTCCTGGTGGGCATATGCAGGGGGCAGGTGTCGAGCCTACATCACTAGGACCATTCATGCACTACCAAGAGCAAAACCAGCCATCAATACACATGCCAAAAGCATTCAACAAAGCTAACATCATACAAAGATGATTTTCCTTAGGCTGCATAGATCCTGGCTTTCACTCCTTTGCTCAGCTGGATCTTCTGCTTACCCGAATATTGTCCTTTCCATGCAAGAATTCATCATTTTACCCAGAAGAAAAATAAATTAAAAATTAAGTACCGATATTGGGCTGATATCTAAAAGTCTATTTGCTTTTATACAGATGTCATATAGTTTGATACTTTTAAATATGGCAACGTGCAAAACTCTTCTCCTAAACTTACTGATACTCATCATTTGAAGTCTAATAATTTTTTTTAAAATTATTTAATTAAAGTATAATCTAATAAATATGCATAGCGTAATGACTACAACTGATGGGCATGCTATCAAGTATACAAGCCTGAAAAGGACAGAAAGCCCAAGTCTACCTCCTGGGCATATGGCCCAACTATTAAGCTACTTGAGGAATGGTGCAACATGGCTGCTACCACCAGCTCCTACAAATGGAGAGTCCTGCCCCCAAGGCTGCCCATCCTCCAAAGACTATTACCTGCCTTCCTCCAAACTACACTCCCTATACAAACAGCAGAAAACACTAAACTTTGGCAAACCACATCACCCTCTAGACTTTTTTTTTTTTTAAGGTATTTACTTCTCACCATTGAGACCATGCAAAACCTTAGTGTTTTACCAAGGCAGGCAAAGAGAGACTAGATCAAATCCATCTGCCCAAGGTCAAGCCTCCAAAATTTATGTGTACCTGTGCAAAATCTATATATTCAAGTTAGATTCAGTAGATTTTTTTTGAAGTTCTCAGAACTATGGAAAGGAAAAAAATTAAGAATCGAAGACATAAAAAAACAGATTTTGTATTTGTTATCTTAACCATTTTCTACAATATTTTATGCATATTTTCTAAAATATTACAGACTTAAGTTGTTTGTTTTTGGTTTTTTTTCTGGATGTAATTCTTTCTCAGCATCAAAAGATTGATCAAAACACAAACCCATGTCTCCTCTGCAACGATACCAAGTGGAGTTATGAGGATGGTTAGGGAAGCTATCTTAATAAACCTCCAAACAAGTCCCCCTCCAGGGAGCTCCCATTGGCATGATGCACCTAACAGCTACCTGACTATGCATATGCCCATTCACTTGCCAACAGCATCCCGACATGGAAATAAGAGCAATTTAATTGAACTGGAAAAAAAAACAAAAAAAAAACCTACCAAACAAATAAAAAAAAAAAAAAAAACAGGCCTACTATTAGTGTAATAAAGATGGATTTCTTCAGAAAACTTGTTTTTGGTTTGTCTATTGACTTGAGTTCAATTAATGGGAATTCAGCACTTTTAAGCTTAGCAAACCTCTGTCCACTTTTCAAAACAAAGAGCATATTCCTAGAATAATAAAAAGTTTACATAAAGGCAAATACTACCTTAGACTGAGTTTGAGCAGTTTAGGATTGAGCCTACCTCTCCATTCTGAAACAAGAAGAAACAGTTTAAGAGTAACAGTAGTAATACAGCAACATCTGTAACAAGGAAAATCCTTTCGTTTGTAAACACTACCAAAAACACTCGTAAATTTAAGGGCTGTAACTGCCAAGAAATTGTTCTCAGACTTATGTGCAGCTGCTATCAATGCGTATGAATTTTTAGTTCATTTTGTTTAAAGGTCTTCAACAGGAGCTACCAGTAACAATTTTTAAAAGATAATGACAAAACTAGAATTATTACTGAACCATGTAAATATTTACATTTGGGTCAAACCTTTTGCCAGGAGTAACTTCTCATCAAAAAAACCCTTTGCTTTCTCATTCATGTCATAGAAGGTATCAAAATATTTCTAAAATCTCTGATCTCTGCCTGAATCCTGGGAAAACAGGCAGCAGCACAAAGGCAAGCCTGACTTCTTCTCGCTTTCCTGTCTGACTGCATTAGACTGCTATCAACTGAACTGAATTTTTCAGTATCTGCAACATCACAGATCAATCCATCCTCAAATATTTCAGCATATTAACCAAGAAATTGTCTTAATGGTTTAGTAGCCAGCATTAGCTGCAACGTGTACAGGAATTTTCCAATACACACAGTCACCACTGACTTCATACATGGTCTGTGGAGAGAGACAGCTTCCTCTGTGCTCAATGTTCACCTCAGGCAACCGCAAGAGAGGTGTCCTTCTCCACAGACCACAAAGAGAGCTTAAAATTACTATGCAGCTATCATCTCTGGGAAAGGGAATAAATTCAGGTTGTAGTTAATCCATATAGCCCCTGAGTAGTTCAGGAGCTCTGACCAAAACCACACTGAGAGAATGCAGCCATAAACCACATAGTCCTGTTTGGAGATCATTCAACATTTTCGTTTTCTGAAGGAGCCCAGAATTTCATGGGTAAAGTCCAAATCCAATTTATAACTACAACAAGTGGAACTAAACTGGCAAAAAGCAATCTTTTTGCTTGGATTTCTTGCCAAATGGCATAGAATGCAAGATGTGGTGGACTTGGTAGTGTTTGTTTTCTTTATAGAAAAAAAAAGCCTACTTTTCATATCTTACTTTGATTTTGTAAAGAGCAGAAAGACATTTGGTGCAGTTAAATAGCCAAATACTAAATTTACTTATGGATTTAAAGCTAACTTTACCAAAGTGTTCCCGAACTCACTAGTACTTGACACACAGAGTCAATAATCCAGCCACCTACTCATTGCTTAAATGAAAGCTGTGAGTTTTGAGAAAGCCCTAATAAGGGTGCTGACGAGAACAGACCCACTGGCCACAAATAAACAGATGAAAGCCATACTAGCCAGGGGTCTGTACAAGTCAGACAAAAAATAAAATATATGGATGTTGAAGATTCATAAGTTCTCCTGTCAAACTGACAAAATGTTCCTGATACTAAGCCAGATCACAATGTGAAGAATACAGGTTTAAATACTGAGGCACTGGTGTCTGATTATCTTTAGCTCAGTTTGAATAAGACACTGAATGAGGACACATTGAAGGAAACTGTCCTTATAAAATCTCTTCTTTGTATTTTGAGATGGGAGCTGAATGGTTTTGAAAACCTGGCTCCAACTGTGTCACAAATGGTTTCCAAATCTGTTTGCATGTGTTTTACATTTTACTGCATAATTAACTCTAGGTAAGAGAATCATAGAATCCTTTAGGTTGGAATGGACCTCCAAGATCATCAAGTCCAACCATTGAGCCATTAGGGCTCTAAAGTCCTCTGCTAAAACAGATCAGAATCTGTCAGGGTTGGAAGGGACCACAAGGATCACCCAGTTCCAACCCCTCTGCCATGAGCAGGGACACCTCCCACTAGATCAGGCTGCCCAGAGCCTCATCCAGCCTGGCCTTAAAGACCCCCAGGGATGGGGCCTCAACCACCTCCCTGGGCAACCCATTCCAGGGTCTCACCAAAGACAGGGTCAAAGGATCCCTATAATCTTCCTAATTGTGTACATGAATCATAAAATCCTGAATAGGATTTTATTTTTGTGTTATCCATAACATATTTCATGAAATCTTGTCAATATAGCAGTCAATGGGATATTTAACACAGACATCAGCATAGATACTTCTGACAGAATAAAGTGATTTTAAAATACACGTTTGTCAGTTATGTACAAAAATTTCAGAAATTAAATGAACTGACAAGTAACAAGAAGTATATCAGGTAAGTTTAAAAGTAACATTTAAAGTATTTTACATTGGTATAATATAGTAGTTTATTAATTTATAATGTTTAAAATCTTAAATTTTAACAGAAGATTCCAAGATTCTTCTATACTGCTGTCAAACTTCCACCATCAAATATCTAAACTAAAAATACTTTTAAAATAGATTTGTGAAAAAATAAGGCTGAAAATAGGTTCTGCATTACTTGATATTGCACAGGTAGCAAGCATTGGTTTGTACCAGCTAAACCAATGTAGTATTACTTATTTTAAGAATTCTTTGACTCAGCTTTAAGCAGTGATTTGTAAAAAATGCCAGGTAGTCCTCAAAAGGTTGTCTATCATACTCACAAATCCTGGGATCTCACAGACTGTTTCCCGATTATTTTGCTCTGGGTCACAGTAGATTCGCAGTTTTTGTATATCAAACTAGAATTCAAAACATAAAAGACTTATTTTAGAAAAAGTGTTAGCAGTCTGACATTATGTTAGTTTAAACTATACTCTTCTTAAATTATATCATCCACAGGTCTAAAAAAAAAAATGAACAAATTATCAAAAAGCAAGAGAAACAGGAAGCTTTGTCCACTATAGTTAAAAATCAATTAAAGATGTAGAAAAATTTTTAATCCGGCTACTCACAATGATTAATAACATGCAGACAATTAAACAATCTGTAACAGGCTTATGTAAAGAAAAATAATCAATCCAAGATTTTCTGTTTTAAAATAATAGAAATCACTGCCCTTAGCCCATGGTAATAAATCTAAACACAAAGAACAAATTACACTGTTCCAAATATCACAGGGAAAAAAAAAGTTGTAACAGCAAAGGCAAAACCAACCTTTTCCTTCTTACCTTAACAGTCCTGGGAAGACGTTTCTAAACGTACCTGTGTCTAATACACCTAAGATTAGTAAGTTTTGATGAAGCATCAGGAGTTCCTGACACTTGAAGGAATTTGGTTTCATGTTTAGCTGTATAACATAAAGCTTTGAGAACTGGCTAGTGGTGTTCCCTGGGGGTCAATACTGGGTTGTCTGTTCAAGTCATGCATCAATGACCTGCATGAAGGGCTGGGTGTACCCTCATCAAGTTTGCCAATCAGACAAAACTGGGAGGAGTGGCTGACACACCAGAAGGCTGTGCTGCCATTCAGAGAGACCTGCGCAGACTGGAGAGTTGGGCAGGAAGAACCAAGTTCAGCAAGGGCAAGTGTAGAGTCCTGCACCCAGGGAGGAATGACCCCATGCACCAGTACAGGTTAGGGGCTGACCTGCTGCAAAGCAGCTCCACAGAGAAGGGCCTGGGAGTCCTGGTGGGCAACAAATTAACCTTGAGCCAGCATTCGCCCTTGTGGCCAAGAAGGCCAATGGTATCCTGTGGTATCCTGTGTGTGTGACCAGCAGATAGACAGAGGTTTTCCTCCCCCTCTGCTCTGCCCTAATGAGGCCACATCTGGAGTACTGTGTCCAGTTCCAGGCTCTTCAGTTCAAGAGAGACAGGGAACTACTGGAGACAGTCCAATGGAGAGCTATGAAGATGATTAGGAAAGGCTGAGAGTGATGGGGCTGTTTAGCCTGGAGAAGACTGGGAGGGGATCTTATCAATACCTAAATATCAAGTGGCAAGATGATGGGGCCAGTCTCTTTTCAGTGGTGCCCAGCAACAGGACAAGGGGCAATGGGCACAAACTGAAACACAGGAAGTTCCATCTGAACATGAGGAAAAACATCTTTACTTTGAGGTTGACAGACTCCTGGAACAGCTTGCCCAGAAGTTGTGGAGTCTTCTTCTCTAGGGATATTAAAAGCCTGTCTGGATGTGATCCTGTGCAATCTGCTCAAGGTGAACCTGCTTTGGCAAGGGGGGTTGGACTAGATTATCTCCAGAGGTCCCTTCTGACCCCTACCATTCTCTGAGTCTCTGATTCTGTGATTCTTTAAAAAGCAACCAACAAAAAAAAAAAAATGGCACCAGGTAAGCAAAAGTTTGTGCCATTCTACTACTGAAAAATGAAATCACTGAAGTCAGTTTTTCTAGCATAAACTATCATGACTGCAAAGAGGAAAAAAAAAAAAAAAAAGAGAGAGAGAAAAAAAGCTGTTACACTTCCTTGAAATCAAAGGCTATATAGAAGTCAAACTAGCAGAGGAAGAAAGCACAGAAAATTAAGTCTGTTAATACCATGTCCAGTAATACATGTTTTCAAATTTTAAATGCCTACAAGTCACAGTACTTGAGTATATACATAAGCGTATTGTCGCTATGCTGGAAAGCACTTCAATCAGTAAGATCCTAATTAAATTGAGAACACCTGCAAAATACCATTAGAACACGTATGAATCAGAGCACAGAAAATTCACCAAAGAACATCTGAAGAAGATTCTTGTATTGTACTTTGCATCAAACTGCAGCTGATTTCCTGTCTAAAGGATTTCAGAATACCTTTTCACTGAAAGGCAGTATGCAGACTCACTGAAATATTTTTCTATAATTTAAATAGAATATTTCTCTATATTTTAAATAGAAATACCCTGGCAAAGTTTGACTACTAATGCTTTGCAGAATGTGTCGCTGTCTGAGAAAACAGAGAAAGGAAATTCCTTTTTTAGATTATAGAACTCATCTGGAAATATAAAACTGCAACCTGGGGCAGATTTGCTACTTCTAGTCCCCTAGCATAAGAGAATCTTATACAATTTGACATTCTTAAAATGTTTTCATTTTTATTTTAGATAACAGATCCTGCTACTAACATTCCTTAACTCAGAAACTGCATTGTTGAGTATCTATACGAGTGACATTTCTGCAGTGACTTCAAAGACAAAATAAGAATCAATGACAACCAGAAAACCCTCTAATCCTTGGAATGCACACAACTATCAAAATGGGATAAACCTGAGCCAACAGAGAAAATGCAAGAGAGAATTGATTACAATTCTGAAATTTCTACTTTCCTTGGAATAATTTGAAATAGTTTGAAATTCTATCAGAAATCTGTGACATTCAGTCGTTTCCACAAAGGAGTACTTCAGTACTTTCAGTTATCACTAGAGATGCTGAGCCACAGACACACAGTGCGTCATCTAGGTTTCCATGTCAACTTTTAGATTATGATAATAATAGAACTGAAGGTTGGCTACAAAAACACAAAATTCTGGAACAACTGAGTAACATCTCAGAAGAATCAATGAAGATGATGCAAAACATTAATATATTTTAAAAGGAGTAGTAAGGATCATGAAATTAGAGTACAAAAAAGCATAGCTTTCAAAATAACTAAAAATAATGTCTATTTATGTAATTCAGTATTTCTTACTATTGTTTCTGTTACTATCAGTCAAATTAGTAATGGTATTAACACATTGCTATAAATATAAGGAAACAGTGTATTTAGCCAACATCTGGAACACTGTCAACATAATAGTCTCCACCACTGCTGTACACAGCCTTTAGCAATACATCCTGGCAGTTTTAATCAGCTTTTTGGTGCCTGCAGAGAGATGAAGGCAAAAGGACTTTAACGTTCCTTAAACAAACAAACCTTGGTACAGGGTTTCTGGGAGGTGTTCCAGCACAGCAGAATTGAACGTGGCAGTTTGAGTATCAATTATTTGCAGTACAACAGAAAGAGAGTTGATACAGCTTGTATTTTTGTGTCAGCTACTGATGACAAAAACTTCATCAAAATTTTGCTGCCTCACTCTTACCAGCATAACCCATAAACCAACGGAAGTTCAAGAAAACAGAAGGCATTAATACAATGTTAATCTATGGCAGAATTTCTGAATTATTGTGGTTTTAGCTTATGCTTACCTGTACAGTTTCCTCCTTTCCAGAATATTTTCCTATTTGCGTTAGGCCACTGATGTAAATACCTAAAACAGGATGTAAAGGCTTCCTTTCAATTTCTTGGCCATCTATATACAAAGTTACAAAGTCTTCTGTTACTAAGAGACGAACTTGATGCCAGCCTTCATCAAACAATGTCTAAGAAAAGTGAAAAAAAAAAAAATAGAATTGTTTAAAACAATATGTCTTCAATTTAAGGAACAATAAAACTGAGTTTCAACACTTAAATTACTCTTAATGGTTGAGAGGATCAATGTTCCAGGTTTTCTCATACAAAAAAATTGCATGCTGTACAGGCAAAAAAGTATTTACCAAGTAATATTATAATTAAGAAGATGGCATTTGGTAACAATTAATCCTTATTTCAGAATTATTTTATAACTCACATGGACTTTTTTTCTATGATCTTGAATGTGCTCAAACCTGTATTTGTTAAAGATACAAAGCCAGAGGCATTTTTTTTTCAGCAGTGGTGTAGTGTCTCAAACACCCAAGATCTTAAATCATGGTGAAAATAAATGAATACTTGAAAGTTCTTCTATTTCATCTCTTATGAGAAAAACATTAAAGATGACATCATACTGGCAGAAAGAATCAAAATATTGCAATGAATAAACAAAATATTACAGTCATCATCTCACAAAACCTCAGGTTTCTAAAGCTTAAGATTTAGTTTAAACAAATAGCATAGTTCTACAAGTAATAGAAAATGAGAGATACTGCTAAAGAAAGATTTATGTCACTTAGTTCAGCAATTAAACTCAACATAGGAAGAAATTACACCTTCTTGAGCCTATCCATTTATGTAAAAAAACCCTAGGTCTTTAGCTTCATCCACACTAAATGTTTATCTTTTATATAGCTAAACTTAATAGACACTAATTCCACACTAAATTAGTATGCATAAGAGTAAACTGAAACATGCATCTTTCAGTATGTTAGATATATTTCCTACCTTTGTGGACATAAACAGAAATTAAGTTTATTTCATTTAATAATACACACCCTTAGATAGTACCTTTGTTTCTATATTTTCATTTGTATATTGGGTTTTTATTTATTTACAATTTACAAATTTTTGGATTGACTTGAAACTGAACTTTCCAATAATCAAGTTGGAAATCAAGTTTAACAGTGCTTAAAAAAAAATAATTAATTGGTTTACCTACAAAAAATAATACAAAGGCAGAGAAAATTTGGAAAGAAAAAGTAAAATGCTCCATGCAATAACAAGAGAATAAAATCCCTCTCCCTAGTAAAAGATTACTAGTTAAAACCTTCTCTTGGATAGGAGTCCTTCCTTCTCTGAGGATTTATATTTTAAATTCCTTCAGCCTGATTTGGCAGAAGAGTTCAAACGAAGGCCACCACTTCCCAGAAAAGTTGAACCCCCTTGGCCATGAAGTACTCCAGCAGTACATCTTTCCCACTCTTTATCTGCTGAAGCATCCCTCTTTGTTCACTTAAATAATACTCCCTGTGGTAGGAATAGGAATCTGTAGGCTGAATATTCCTGTACTGCTATAAATGCAAGAGTAGAGACATTCAATTTCCTTCCCTCTGTCTCACCTGCAGCTGAGACAATCTTTCTTACAAGATTTAAGTATTTCACTGGGATTACTGAAGAAAGGCTGAAAGTGAACTTTCAGATTACACTAGAAGACAATAAAACTGCTTTGCACACAGAGGGGAAACCCTTCAGTGAGAAAAATAAGAAGCTGAAAGGAATTTTTGTTCAACAGAGAACTAGACAATTCCAGATTGAACTCTGATTCTGTAAGCTGCTATTTACTCTTCTGGAGAAGAAAGTAACTTCTAGCATTATGTATTTTCAAGGAATTTAGGCATTTAACAAAAACGCTCCATAAAAATGGGTTATTTTCATTGACATCTCCAAGTCTCTGTATCAAAGGTAAAAAATACTTTCCGGTACACGTTCAGCAAAGAGCTGTATGAAAAGAAGTCTCAGTGACCTTCACAATTACCTGCTGGAAACTACTGAGTAGAAAGCACCTGCAAAGCCTTTACAGAAGTGACCACTGCAGACACTCTGGAAACATGGGCAAAGTGTCCCCCATCTATTTTTTAAATGCCTAAACAGCCAAAAATAATGTCTTCTAAAAAACCAGAAAGGTCAAAGGAATACTGTGTACTTAAATGAGTACTCCTGCATGATGACTTACCCCTTACCTTTACATGAGGTGCAGCAAAAGTAATAACTTGTGTGCCATTTATTAAACTTGTTGTAGTGAATGATAATGTTTTCTCTTCTCCATTAATAGTGACTGCTATCTGTGGTCTTTTATCCAGACTTAGAATTCTCCACAAATCCCATGTCTTTTTTACTTTAAATCTTTGAGTGGACACAAACACATAAGATGGAGGCAGACCTTCTGGAAACACATTCCTAAGTAAGGAGGAAGGCAGAAGAAAAAAGACAGTACCTGAACATTAGTATAAATCTTGAAATAATTCACTCACTTAAAGGAAACAAAAAGAAAACCTTACTAAATTTAAAAGTGGATTTATACATTTAAATACCTTGTCAATTCTGACAGGTCAACACGTGAGGTTACTTCATAAGCTTTTGCATTAGTAGCTGGTATTTGAATTCTCTTTTTAACCTTTTTCTTCACACCTAATCCTACAAGGATGTCAAATCCTTTTTCATCTCGAGCTGCCACTGGAATTCTTGTTGGACAAACAGATTCTGCAAAGCAAGAAAGGTAAGTAGAGTTCAAAATATGACTTCAAACTTTCAAAAAAAAACCCCTTCCATGCACACATTTTTTTGTAGCTGCCTACATTTTTTTCTAGAAATAAGAGAATTGAGAACAGCCAGTTAAGTATAATGTGAGAGAAGTGACATGCAGAATCCTCAGAGGTAGTTGGACTTGATGATCTTAAAGGTCTTTCCCAACCAAAACGATTCTATGATTCTACAAAGCAAGAATAGTGAGATGTCATATTTTACTGCAATTATGTTCACATGCTATTTTTAATTGTCACTAATTGTGCTTAAAGGTTATTAAAGGATCTGACTAATAAAAATATTGGTTTTAATTTCTAAAATAGTATGGTTTCAAAATGCTACAAAATCATGGATGTTAATTTCCATGATGCACTAAGAATTTGAATTAATCCAGCATCCTTCCCAAGTATAAAACTGGGTTGAAAATGGACAAAAGTAGAACTATCTACAACTATTTTTCCATCTTCTTTTGCTCAAAAGGTACCCTAATCTTTTCTCTCTGTTACACCAAAATCTGCTTGAAGATATTCCCACTTGACATATATTGTGTGATATATGTTCTGTGGAAACTAAAGTTAGCTAAATGCTGTTTTAGTCTCTTCCTAAAAAAACAAACAAAAAAAAAAAAAACAAAAAACCAAAAACACTAGGCAGTGGACCTAAGTTGTCTCCAAAAAAAAATATAAAATGTGAGATAGCAGAATGGAATTTAATGCTAAAGCAAACATTGTATGAGAGTAACAAATCCATTAAAAGAAAGCACACAACTTTTTGTTTTATTAAAATTATGCTAAACTATTTACCACAAATACATTTTCAGAATTAATTTCCCATTGTTTCTTCAAAAAAGCATCAGTTCATCAAAAGGGAAGAGGATAGGAATACATTCCAAAGAAAGGGTGGAGATCTTCATCTGGACCAGCTGTGGGCTGGAAAACTCATACTTTAGTGCCAGGGAATTATCAGCTCAAAGGTCTAGACTGGCTTCTCTTTTTAATATGACCAACGCTCCACAACTTCTCTTTCTAACTAACCCAGGAGCAGTCAGAAGCTACTCCACTAGGGGGGGGAGGCACGATATATAAACTCTTTAGAAAATTTAGCTAAGTGTCTGCACAAACTATCTATAATGGGAAAAGACAATCCATCCTAAGGGGACATGCAACAGGTAGGGCAACACCAAGAAACCACATATATTCCCCTTATTTTCTTTTCCTCCCCACAGCAAAATGTCATCTGACTCCCAAATTTAAAATATTTTAAAAGTTACCTGTCTGGTTTTATAAGAAAGAATTGCAAGAACTCTGCCTACATTTTGGAAACTACAATGTCTACCTTCTGAATGCTTAAAAAGAAAAAAAAAAAAAAATACATAGTCCAACACAACTTTCCTTCTCACTTCTTAAAACGCAGATGCAGGATTTAAGTCAACATACTTATGATATTAAGTAAGAGCACTTTATTTTTTCAGGTTTCTTCACTGTGCATTGTTATTATGGAAACATTTCCTAAACTCATTTCTTTCAAAGATGAATAATGGTCACACCACCATTAATAAAGATCACAGATAATCATATACACTGGCAAGAAAATGAACGCAAGAATCTCTCATTACAGTACTATAAATTTGGTGTAAAATCGAAAAATAAATGCAGAAATAGGATTAATTTATGTGAGAGGACCATTATTCTGGATCAATACCAAAGTAACTGCTCCAAAACAATACAATACAAATTAAAAACGAGTAGAATTATACATTAAGAAACCATTCTTTATGTCCAACAGAACACTGAAGAATTACATTAAAACATTCCCAGTAAGGTAGACCTTTTTGGGATCTTCTGGGTCACTTTCTGGCAGGACTATTTTGATAACTAACTGAAGAGGATGTTATAACTGACTGGATACAGTTAGTATCCTGACAACTAACATAGATACCTGAAAACTAACAGGATACAGGATGCAGAGTCAATGGCAAAATTAAGAACTGTCTTCCGTGGGAAACAGGGCTGTTTCCAGTCTGCAGTACCAGACACAGCAACTCTCCAGCCTACACTGAATACTCACACCTTCTTAGTGTTTTTTATATAGTTTTTGGATGCTTTATGAAATAAAATCTTGAAGCTAAATTCCATTATCTAGCTTAAAGAAACTTTTCTCAGCATCCTCCAGACATACTTCTGAGGTCTGCACTGAGTATTGCTTTTAAATGCAATTCTGATGCACAATCTTTTCCATATATTTGCTACGGAATATTAATACTACAGGAACATTAAACTTCCAAAATAAATATTAAATGGTAAATATTCCTTAAATATATGGGGCTTATTTGAACCTCGTTGTCCTTTCTGGATGACAGGTTCCGCAGGTTTTTCACCCTGCCATGCTCTACAATGAACACTAGAGTTCCCAAAAGACATGAGAGCCCTCCATGCATAAGGCCACTCAGAACAACATTACTTGCTCTATCAACCACCAAAGCTCAGCCTTCTTTTTCCAGAAAGAAAATTCTGCCTCTGCACCCTTTCATCTGTGTTCATAGAATAACAAAGTTTAAAAAGCCATAAAGGCTAACTTTTTTTTTTTTAGACATTAAAACAAACAATAAAAAGAGAATTGCAAAGTTTTCAGGCAGTTTCATGTGGTTGAGTAAAACACATCTAACAATACTGAGAGCAGAAAATCTATCTTGGTGAAATACAATGTCACTTCTAAACTTTATTTAATGAAAATAGTGTGTTTATTCTGGGGAATTTCTCCCAGCATGAAGTTTTATTAAAGAATTTAGCTGCACTGAACTGGTTTAAGTTTTGGACTGACCACCTTACTACATCAGCCACAAGGAATTATTATTATTTTCATAAGAAATTAACACCATTACCCTCAACATAAGTATCACCACATTTCTTCAATGAAGTTCTTTCTCAAAGTGAGAGCAAATGAAAACTATTTTTCATTCTTACTAAATGCAGAAATACGGTACAACGGAAATAAGACTTGCATCAATTCTTGGTAACAAAACATGTACAAAATAGCACTGATAAATATTCACTGTCTATTAGAGTCCTTCTGAGTGATCTTTTAGAGGCCATTTGCTCTCTTTATATATATGGGAAAGCCATTGTTTTAGTTATCAAAAAACTCCATGCAGCAATGCTGTTAGCAATCTAAATCTAAAACGTCATTTCACAATGGTAGTCTTGGCTAATTGTTCTGTAAAACCCTTCTAAAATAGATCATAAGAGCTTGATACAATTCCAGGCACTTCTGCCAGGAGTCTGAGTATTTCAATGCATACTAGCAGAACTCCCGTTTGCAATGACAGGCTATCCTCTCAGCTCTCAAGAAGAAATGCTATGTTGTGGATGAGTATCAGATACACCAAGGAAAAGGATAAAATAAGCCCTATACTCTCAGCACTTGAGAGTCACACAAATATTTTAGGGTTTCTAAACTTTAGCAATGCAAAAACTGAGGGGCTTAGGGCGAAACGCTACATACTGAAATTAAACACATACCATGTTAAAGCACCATCTCTAACCCAAATATACCTTTTTATTTAATGGAGAAAATAACATTTCAGGAATTATTTCTGCATACAAGATCAAAATGAAAGCACAGTAAAAATTATCAAGCACTTTAGGTTACATTAATCATGCATTCTGCTTGTGAAATAAAGAAATACAGCTACAGAACTATATTCTGCACACCCAAAATATTTTATAATCAATTACTTACCCTCACAGAGTTTCTGCTTTATAACTTCTTTAATTCTTGATATTGCAATATAGTCTTCAACATAAAATACGTAAGTTGATGAAGGCTTGTTAGCAATAGCTTTAAGTTCATCTTCCTCAATTTCAGAGCCAACACCAATAGCAAACAAAGTTATTTTATTTTTCCTCGCTTCTGCTGCTACATCTTTGACTTCATCTTGTGACTTTCCGTCAGTGAGAACAACTGCTATTTTTGTTAAAAATCTTGAAGATTTTGCAAAAACGTGGTCAAAGGCAAACTGAATAGCTCTTCCTGTTCTCGTATTTCCTCCTAAGTAGTGTATGGACTCCATTTCCCTGATGAGATTCTCAGTGGATTCATGAGTTCCAAGGGGAATTTCAAGTACAGGGTAATCGCTGTACTGGACAACTCCAACTTGAATGAACTTTGGCCCTATGTCAAAATTTCTTGTAATATTGACAAGCCAGCTTTTGATTATTTCAAAGTTTTCTGGGCCAACACTGTAAGAGCCATCTAAGATAAAAACTAAATCTGCCGGGGCAGTTCTGCAACCTACAGATATTAAAAAAAAAAAAAAAAAAAACAGAAATCAAACAAATATTTTCAAGAACTCTTTCACTTTTTTCTTTCACAGGAAATAGTTTTCAGATCAATTACTATTTGTATTAGAATCTGTGCTGACAAATACACTACACTTTTTAAAAAATCAGCTGTGTTTACCAAAGAAATCATGATTATTTCTCTAGACCACACAGATCCAACTTGGTATCTGAAAACCATACCATTCTCTGTTTTTTACATCATTACAAGAAATTACTGTGAAAAATTCTGGAATTCAGTTCCTTAGTTGGCCATTTCATTTCAAGCAATCAGCAAAGAGGAACAGATTTTGTTTTTTCCATATTTGTCTGTACAGATGATAAAAACTCATTTTTATTAGCAAACCAAGCACACTGCTTAGGAAGGCTTTAGTTTAGATACTCCAGAATTCAGCAGTAATATCCAATCCTATTACAAATATATTTTAATTGACTTCTGACACAGCTACATCGTACTTACAGAACTAGTTATAATAAAATCCTGTGTTGCAATGGAATGTTGCAGGTTTGGAAGGTTTTAGTAAAGAAAAATGCTCAGCGAACAAGCTCCACCTTCAGAATGTAAGATCACATAAGTATTTAACAAGTAGAATGTAGCTGCATGATGACACAGGCACAGATTCAGCTCTCCTAGCTGCAGTCACTTACAAATGGAACTTTTGGACTAAATTAGCAACTACAGGCCACAGACTGACACTATCATTTCTATAGGACAGTCCTATCCATCTAATATGCACATCCTCAGATGGAGGGAATAAATACCTAGAAGACACTCACCTTCCATCAACTGTGAAAGGAGCTTAGATACACAACACACATTTGGGCAAGCAGATGGCCCAAACTAAGAGAGATTATTTTTATCCCATGGCACACAGGATCGTGGGGGTTGCTGTGTCTTACTGTGCTTTCAGTTTTGTGAAATGCTGCAGCTCCAGCACAGGAAGGAGCACTTTATCTTGTCCTGATATCTGTCTACAGACACTTCTGGTCAGGTCAAGATTTCACCTTCCTTGAAAGCAAGTTACCACAGTTTGCTGAAGATATGCTTTTGAAGTGCAGGTGGTGGTGGTGAAAAGACATGGGGAGAAGGAGAAAGGGGCAAGCAGACCATGTCATTCTGTGGTCCAGGGATATGAATCACAGAGTAATTTCAGTTGGAAGGGACTCTGGGCATCACTGGACCCTGCTGAAAACAGGCCCAGCTTAGAGCAGGTAGTCTAAAGACTACAGTCTAAATTTCTAGAGACCAAAAGGAATTGCATGGAGTTTGATGTACAATACTGAAAATTGCTCAACTGAGAGCAAAATTCTAGGAAAAAGACTGCCCCTGAAAGGATCATTTGGGCCAGAGGAAAGTTTTCCTCACACTTTTTATTCATCTGCTTTGTCCTTCAAAAAGCTATCCTGCTTTTCTTTTTCTTTTCTGTAAAAGATATTTAGAGTACAAAACTTGGTTTGCTGAGGTTTGATATGCTAATTTTGAAGAATATTCAAGGAGGTATGTCCCAGAGCTGGGTTTATCCCAGCTTCCTCTCACAGAAGCTTTATTTTTCTTATTTGGTTTATCACATAACGTTAAAGTACTCAAAACATAACTTCTGAAGAAATGAAAATATAAATACCCAAAGACACAAGTTTAAATCTAGACTGGAGCTTTAGAAGACACAAAAAGAAATAAAGATAATCCCTTTGATATTTTAACAGATTTTTTTAAAATTAAGATTTTTTTAAAATTTTTTTAAAGATATCTTTAATTAAGATATTTCATTTTCTTACCAAATATTACAGGATTTTCACCATAAAAACTATACTGGAAAAAAAAAAAAATCACCATCAACAGAATTGTACTTGTGGACCTGAAAACGGATACTACAAGTTCAAGCCATGCTTTGAAGTTGCCTTTATCTGAAATATAAAAATGAAGACTTACTTGCTCTTGTTTCCCCATTGTCAGCTGAGACGTAATCATGAAGCAGCAGAATTAACAGCATCTGAAAAAACATTACAATCTGTGCCATGTGTATTGTATTTTGAAAGTCTTGAGATTCAACTAGATGGGGAAGAAATGAAAGGGAAAGACAGTGTTATTATATAACAAAACAAATCCAGACTTCTGTGTTTTAAAACCTGTGCGTGAGGAAACACTCTGAATTGAATCTGCAAGCCCAGATGTCAGGCCAGCCTGTGATGGACCACAGACCCAAAATGTGTGAGTCAGGCATGTAAGCCCAAAATTGAGATTCTAAACTCAGAAACACTCACCAGCCTTCCTGTGGAAGCTCAGTACTCTGCAGGGCATATATACTTCTCCTGCTAGGTACGTACTCTTAGCCACAGTCACACTTGTCCCACAATTATCCCACTCTGCAGCCACTATCCAAAAACTTGAGAGCTACTGCTCCAAAATTTGCCAAGTGTTTATGTACCAGGTTCTGGTGGGGAGACATTACTTCAGCCTCAACCCACACACCTGACTACCTCAGGAAGTCTGGGACACTTCCCACTCCTCTATCCTAGGGCTCAGACCGCCACCAGGAGTCAGGGGCTCAGCAAGCCCCAGCTCTTTCTCAGCAGGGACAAGGTCCACCAAATGTACTTCAAGAGCCAAGGTTACACAAATTATATGTACAACAAACTTCTTATTTTTTCTTCTGTTTACGTCTTCTTTATTACTGTGGACTCTGAATTATATCCCCAAAAGGGTCTTGAAGCTAATATGCAAATCTGGTGTCATGTTGCTATCATAATTATTTGACAAATGTACTTAAATGAAGTAATATTAATTACTTATGTTTATTGAAAAAAATAGAATTATAATGGGAAAAGAAACATTTTTAGAATACCGTACTCACTTCAAGACCCTGAAAAAGAAAAAAAAAGTATACAGATTCTCCTTTGCATCCTGCCTTCTCATCCTCCAAGGCAAAATGCAATTTTTCTAATTACTTTTTATTGTCCACTACAAAACATGAATGCCCTGATGGAAAATGGGAGGATTAACTGCTGGTCTGAGTAAGTGCATGCACTGGTGACTGAGAGCTGGTATTGATTACCCAGAGAGCCTATGGAGTCTGCATCCTTGGTGATACTCAAAAGCCTTCTGGACATGTTCCTGGGCAATCAGCTCTAGGGTTTGGACCAGATGACTTCCAGAGGTCCCTTTCAACCTCAACCATTCTGTCACCCTTTGACTTCTACTAAACTACGTGAAGTGGTATTTCATGTAAGCAAAGATGTGGTCAATCAAATGTCACGAATCTAACAGAAAACAGAATTTTACAACTTACATCCATATTTGCATATTTTAACAGAATATTTTTTCCCCACTGAGTTATTTGGTTTGCACTCAGAACAACACTGTCTTTGTTCTGCTTAGTAACTGACCAACCAACCTACTGCTTTTAAATTTTCTCACATTTATGGGAAAAATCTCTAAACCATGAAAACAAAGAATAAAATCAGAACAAATTTTCAGTAGCAGTTCGAGGCCAATTCACTGGACTATCCTCCAGTGTCATTGATTTAAGTATTTTACATCTAGGCAGAAGACTAAATATTCCTCTTTTCTCTATAGGCTTTGCTTTGTCAGTCATGTTAGTCTTTATCTATTACACACTAGTTTATCACCACCATTCTTGCTGGTTATTTCAGCCCATTTCCTAGAATTGAAATGCTTTCTTTGAATAATGTCAAGACCCCTCCCTTTCCACCTCTTTTTCTTCTATTCATAAACCTTTACTTATGCTCACATCAAAACTATCTACACACTCTCTAAAAAGTCAAATATAAATGAAAATATTTATTACACAATAAAATTAAAATAATATATTGGGGGTGGGGGTTGAGGGAGGAATGAAAGCTGTTTGTATTCATCATTTTTATATTGCTACTCTAATTTTGAACTCTTCAGGGTAGCCATGGTGTCCACCACGTTACCAATAATAAAGTACTGGCCAATGCTCTGGAATTTCTGTAGTGCTGGAAAATACTATTCTCTAAAAATACATCAAAAAACAATTCAACATGCCTACTGGAAGTGCATTTTAGGAGAAGAAATAGGTAAATGGAAATAACTAACCATTTGCTTCTCCAAGACTAGTCAAGGCAGTAAACAGAAGAGAATGTCATTTAATCACTATAGCATACCGAGCAGCTACAAAGCACCCAGCAAACTGTTACCTGCAAAAAAATTCTACAGGAAGTAAACGTAGACCTTTCTCTCTAAAGATACATATACCTGACATGAAGTTTTTAGGAAAATTATATGGGAAAAAGGGATTACAGAGTTGTAGGGGCAAGACAGCAACAAGTAGAGAGGCAGTTATCTCAATGTCAGGTTCGCTTCTGGTAGATTCATGTTCTATATTTGACAAATAGAGTAAGTGCCACAAAATCTGTAAATTGACTTACTTTGGCTTTTCAGTCAGTTGTTGTGCTTTTTCCACTGTTTATAAAGCACTCACGCTATTAAGACAAAAAAAAAAAAAAAACAGAAACTTATCTCCACAAACAACTTCAGGAAATGCACAAACATCAACTTCCAGGAAATGCTACTCCTACTTAATATAAACCCCAAAAGTTAATACTGCAAAAATATGTTAGTATATATAACCTTTACTTTACAGGATTACAGACCATTGCAAGGTAACAACATACTTTGTTTTTCATACTATGTTGCATCAGAATGGTTAAGACACCAGATGAAGCACTTTGGTATCTGTGGGATAGGATATAAAATGTGCTGTTGCAATAATGCTACACAAATACTGGGATGTCAGCTTCATTTAAATAGATTAAGTGGCAGCTTCCTGACTCAGCTATTTGAAAAAGGATGTTAAACTACGAAATTAAGTATGTAAGTAGTAGGCATGTAATACATGACAAAACCTTACCACAGTAGAAGTAGACAATTTACACTGATTATTTCATACTCAATGGTTTGTAAGATTCATAATTTTAAAATCACTGTCAGCCTCTTCCATAGCAAATGTTTACTGAAGGGTAACATGCATCTCTCACAAGGCCAAACTGAGTGATATCAAAGAAGAACATAAATTAAATCTATGTGGGAATCTGAATAGCAGGTAACCAAAGAAGGACAGCTCCATTCTTTGAGAATATCAGAAAAATATCAGTCTATAACTGAACATAAAAAGACAAACTGCTATACAGAGCGCTGATATATACCAAAAAGCCCACAATGCTGGCCCAAACAAACTATAAAATCCTACAGAATTTAAAAAGGAACTTAGTAACTTCACTGCATCAGTCTCCACTAAGAAGAGCACAGGGAGTGCCACCATTATTATTGCACCTTTCTTTGAAAATAAACCAACACACGAAATCTATAAATTTGTTTTAACAACACACTCCCTAAGTTTTATGTGCTTCACAGCACAGGCACTTCAAGTCAGGTGGGGACACAGGGGTCCTGCTCGCTGGTGCAGATCTCCTTTCAGCAACCCCTGCAGAAGCTTTTAACGCCTTCCTTAAACTGCACTGCCCTCTTCCACTGGAGGTCTGGAACACCTCTCCTACATGGACAGGCTGAGAGAGTTGGGGTTGTTCAGCCTGGAGAAAAGATGGCTCCAGGGAAACCCTACTGAGGCCTTCCAGTATCTGAAGGGAGCCAACCAGAAAGCTGGGGAAGGACTTTTTACAAGGGCTTGAAGCGATAGGACGAGGGGTGATGGCTTCAAACTGGAAGAGGGTAGATTTACATTAGAAATCAGGAAGAAGTCCTTCACTGTGATGGTGGTGAGACACTGGAACAGGCTGCACAGAGAAGCTGTGGACGCAAAAATTAATGGCACACCACTCATGTGACCCTGCTGGTCAGCTCACATCAAGTCTTAAAATTCTGCAAAACAGGAGTTAAAATTAGCAATACAGTTTAAGGGATACAACAAGAAAGAAGAGATGTTTACAAGTTCCTCCTGGCCCCAGCCCCATCTACCTCAACAGAGAATTGCTGTTCACCATCCAGTCCTGGCTTCACATGAGGGGCATATCCAAACTCACTCTTGTTCCAGTCGTAAAAGAAAGCATACAGGGAATACGTTTACAAGGTACCAGGCATACCAGGCATCAGTGTAGGGGAGCATAGGAGGGAACTACAGGGCAGCAATTATATATGTTTCACCTCTCATACAGAGGAATTTCCTTTCTTCACTAGTGAATGCTATAGCAGCCTTCAGTGTATGCCTTTAATCTTGAAAGACATTGAAGGACTGAAACAATCACATCTGGCAATACAAGCTTATCTGATTTGCAGAATCAAACTGTATTCCCATAACAGATCAATTTTTCTATCTGTTTGTGAGAGTCCTTCTGTATTTCATTTACAACAAAGCCTCAAAAATATGAGATACTGAACTTGAGAACTTCATTGTAAGTATAAAGCCAAATAACTCTTTATTAGTCCAAAACGGACTTATTAATCGAAACCAAAATTAAAAGGATAAACCCAAGACTGAAGCAATCACTCACTGAAGATTCCAGGAACTATCTGGTGTCCAGTTTATTGGGAAAAAAAAATAATAATATAGCACTGCACTTCTAACAGTCAAAAGAGATGCCAAACCAACAACTCCACAGACCAAACTTCTGTGTCTTGTCAACATGGTAATTACAGCACAGTCAACAGAAGTGTACTTGAAATTACTTACAGAAAATACTTGCCCAACTGCCTTACTGTTACCACTGAGAAGCCATTAATACAATAAATACCAGCCCAGGACATCTCCACTGACCTTGCCAAAAACCCAAATTCATCACTGCTGATCATGTCCTTTTTATCTCCCTGGTTTTTAAGAGAAATAAAGAAAGTTGAACACTGCTTTTTTACTGTCCTTGAGAGCTCTGCTGAATGTTATGATAAGTCAGGGTCCTCGTGCCAAACTTCTGCTGCTGGAGCTGTAGGCGGCGAGTCAGACTATGCAGGCGACTGCTATGGGATGGCACATCTGTCCCAGCACTGCACAGCCAGAGTGACACGGGATTCACACTTGGTCCTTTC